AAAAAAAAAAAAGACAAAATACAACAAATTTAGTTAAGATCTCAATTGGCTTTTATTTGCAATTGTAGAATTGGGCATATATCTCATCTCATTCCATAAGTTAGGATTTAGTGCTTGGATGAACTAAGCAGAAGAGATTGGTTTTATAGACAGAAAAGGGCTGAAGAAAGCTGAAACAGAAAGCAAAATGGAGGATTGGGCCTTTCAGAGTTACTGTCCTTGAAAAGGTTAAAGTAGAGGGCACTTCTGTTTCATTCTGGCTAACACTAGCCTTTTTGGGATTTGGCTGTTATCTTCCTCTTTCTTGATTTCTTAGAAAATCAGATAAAGATCTTAGCTTGGATTTGGTGGTGTGGTACTTGAGCATGAGTGACTCCATTTTTGGTGTGGTCTGTTGGGCATAGAGCAAGAGCTCAGTCCAAACAAGTGGCCTCATATACATTTTCTTTAAGGATGGCTTAAGTGAAAATAATGATAATAAGTGCTGGGTGTGAGCCCTACCCTCTCCCTGCCTCTGCTGCTTCTCCCATGCTGTCTTCCACATGGTGGCCCCAGTGTCCTGTCTGAAGGGTCTGGCTCTCCATCACTCCCCCTTTACAGCCCTTCAGTTGGGAGTTCTCCCATGGCTTCCCAGCCACCCCCTTGCTCTGGCACTCCCCACCCCGGCAGCTGCTCTTACCTCTCTCTGGAGATCTTCTCCTTCTTGGGCATGAGGCTGGCTTTTCAAAATGTATCTTCATGCACTTTCTGGGATGCTCTCCTAGCCCATTCCATGTTGCCTTCAGAATCTTCCGTCAGCAGCTATCACCCCTGAAGGATACTAATGCAGCGACAGTGCCGTTATCATTAGGTGCATGTATAGTCCAGCCCTTACTGCGTGCCAGGCACTGGTTCAAGCACATGACACACACATTTTATTTAATCCTCATAACAACCCAGGAGGCAGCTGTTACGGTTCCCATTTGTCAGATGAGTGGATTAAAGCAGAGAAGTTTTACAGCTAATAATTAGCATGGCCTCCTGGACAAGGACTTTTTTCTGGATCCCCTTCTTCAGTAGGGAAATGGAAACCCAGGAGTAGGCCTCTAGCTGTGGAGATAAACATTGGTGGCTGAGAATCCCTTCCTTGCCTTGGCAGCTGTGACTGAGGATGAACTAAACTGTGTGCAGCCTTCCACCTCAGTTTCCTTACAAAGTCCGATTGTTCATTCAGCTGAGACTGGCATTCTGTCCTTTCCCATTGCCACCCTTGACCTCCTCTCCTATCCTGTTCTGTTCTTTGGGGGGTCAGGTGCATCTAATTCAGTCTTCCTGAGGAGTCTGCAGACTCCCCAGCTTTCCTGGGTAAGGCACTGTGAAACTTCACTGTGTCCTGACTTAGCTGGTGGTCCTTTACTGGTCAAGCCTCCCAGGTAAACTGCCACCCTGGAAAAGCTGTCTTCAGTAGTCCTCTTAAACCTTGGTCTTAAATGATCTAGGAAAGGATGGTTTGTAATGAATAGAAACCCCCACCTCCGACTGGCAGGGCAGATGTTTAAGATTTCTTCAGGCAAAAGCCAACTGCAATCAAGTCATGGGCTGCTCTTTTTCAAAAAAATAATCTTTATTTTTTATATTGGATTTACAGAGAAATTGCAAAGCTAGCCCAGAATGTCCTCACGTACCTTCATACCTAGTCTGCCTATTATTTCCTCTAACACTAGTGTAGCATATTTGTTACAATTAATGAACTGAACCAGTATTGATACATTATTATTAACTGAAGTCCATAGTGTATTCAGATTTCCTTATAGTTTTTGCCTATGGAAAAATGTCATTTTTGAGGGATGGGGTACTACTCATTAGGTGTTTTGTGAGATGCCGTGTTGGAATTTCTCTGATTTTTTCCCCCTCATGATTAGAGAGTGCTTATGGTTTCGTAGAGGACTAGCTTAAAGTATTGTTTTTATCACAGCAGGTCAAGTGTACTTGCTGCCAACATAATTGATGACTCTTGATGTTGACGGCGGATCATCTGGCTGCAGAAATGTTTGTCTCCAATGTGTGCTTACTTACTCCCCCCACTTCCGTACTGTATTCTTAGGAAGGAGGTCAGATTGTGGAGCATAATTCTCTTCAGCTAAAAAGTAAAGTCATTATTTTAAAGTGCGTTTATACCATTAAATCTACCCACTATGGAAATTTAAAAATTACTGTTTTTAATATTGTTAAGTAGCCAATCCTTTGCAAGGACAGTTTATGTATTACGACAGTTTATATATTATTGAGGGGGTTTGGATTCCTTCAGTTTTAAATGAGTATTTTTTCTAGCGGCAGAAGGCAGGGCCAGGAAGTAAACCAGGAATCAGAATCATTTGCCCCAGTCTTCCGTTTGAACCGTGTTTTGTGAAGCTACGTCAGTGAAAATTTTCGTGGTGTACCAGGAGGATTGTGAAACCCAAGTTCTTTAGATTGTGTTTGGGTTATTACGCCCAGATAAGCAACAAGTTGAGGGCTGAGAGTGAGTGAACCAACGGAGTTCGATTTTATAGATAAATGATTCCTCAAGAAAATACCTGGAGCTCAACCCGGTAAAAAAACACTTAAAGTTGGCGCGCCATCTATTGGCTAAGTGGAGTAACTTATTTTAGTTTTTAAGCTGATTTTGAACTCAAGCATCGGGAAAAAGAGATTTTTCTTTTTTCCAAAAATTGCACCAATATAAAGCAAAGCTCTAATTGATGCGAGCGTGTTGTGTAGGTGTTAGCAGTACTGCCCTCACTATGCGCTCATTGGACAGTAGCGCAACCCCAAGAAAAGGATGGTTAATCTGATTTGGCCTACCGCTGCAAGCAGGAAGCGCCAATACCAGGTTTGATTGTGGTGACTAATTCGCGAGCCCCGCCCTAGTCGTTCTAGAAACAACTGCACCTCTATTCATCACATCTCTCCACGCAAGCCGCCAACTCCTTGTTTTCGGAGGCTTGAAGGGTCCCAAAGCGGCTGCTCGTTTTTACCCAGAAGGCAGCGCGCCGGCCGCCCCAAATTTGCATACGCTCATCTCGCCGGGGCGGGGCCAACGGGGGCGGAGCTTCCGTAAGTGCTTTCGCTCCGCCGCAGGATTTGGTGTTAGTGTGTCTGCTCTTTATTTCTTTTTTTTCTCGCTCAGTATTTTCTTTTGTAACGGGGAACAGCTCTAATGCCAGAGCACTCTTCCTCGTGCTAAGCAGTTTATTCTTCTCAGTCGGCGTGCGCGCTTTGGGTTCTCGGACTGCGTCGGGGCCAGAAATGCAGGGGCGTCCTCAGAGCGAGTGGGCGGGAGCGATGCACTTTCGGCCGGCAGCTAACGGGCTCCTGGTGTTTCCTGTTGCAGGTGGTTCTTCTGGGCATGGACATCCTGTCCGCCCTAGTGACCCGTCTGCAGGATCGGTTCAAGGCGCAGATCGGCACAGGTGAGCTGTGGGCAAGTGTGGAGCGAACCCCGAGACTCTCCTTGCTTCACATCGCCCCGCGCCTTCCCTCATTCTCCCCAGTTACTCTGTTGAGCTGCAGTCAACCCTTTAGCCAGCTGTCCGGTATCCCCGCTTCACCTCCACCCCGCTATTGCTTCCCTCCTACTCCTCTCAAATAGCCCACCCTCCTCCTTCAGCCTTCTGTCATCTCCCAGGTGGGGCTGCCCCACCACCGCCTTCCCTCCTCTGCTGGGTTCACTCCAGCCCCACTAGCCTGTCTACACCTACCGGCATTTTACCCACCTCCCCACCGCCTTTCATAGCTTTTAGAGGGTTTCTCCCAACCTTTGTGTTCTAATATGAAATACTACCACCTGTTTTATTTTTTATGCATAGTTAGCCATCACCCTTTAGTGCTAACCAAATCATTTTTGTTATTGACTCTTGTAAAGAGAGGCGGTTTTCCAATGGGAAGTCCTGTAAAACCAAGCCACTTGTATTTTTCCCATATTATTTTTGGCATTACTGTTTTGACATTGATTGTAAATGCCATTACAGGTATGTAGTAAATACTCCTGTATGTCAGCAAAATGAAACAAAATCCTTAGTTTTGTAGATTTAGACACTTGTAAATTCCTGGCTTCTTGTATTATTTCATGATGGCAAACTAAACATCATATACTGTGAAACCGTTTCCTTATAGAATTTTTTGATTTACGTTGGTATGCATGTTTTTTTTTTTTCTGTTAACTTTTTGGTGTCTGTGCTCCTTTAGAAAAGGTGGTGAACTGTTTTTCCATTATGGCACTGAGTAACTCTCTCTGTAAATTCATTGATTTAAAAAAAAACTGGGTATTTTAATAGTGTCCTAAATTAGCTGAAGTATTCAGAGATATCTCTTGTAATAGAGGAAAGTAAGGTAACCTCTGCTTTCCAAGTGCCCTTGGAGCACTGGTGGGTCAGCCCCCATTTGGCTGTATGAGGGGACAGGAAAGAGCTGGGCTCTGTCTGATAATCTGGGTGTGATAGAAAGTTAAAAATTCACACTATTTTTGAAACACAGATTCATCCAAAGTGCCTGCCCCTTTTATCCAAAAAGAAATGTGCTAGAGCACTTCTCTTTTTCTTTTAACCAAAAATTTTCCTTTGTGTTGACTCTTTTCTGCCATGATCTTCTGTTATATTAGCTTACAAGCATGTTGGGAGCTGGCTGGAGGAAAATGAATTAAGGATGAAGACAATTAGTATGTGTCTTTCCATGCAAAGGATTTCGTAGATTGATGTGGTGACTTTCATGGATTTCAGCACGGAAGGGAGAGCCATGAGCAAGGATGGGTGGTTTTACAGGAAGGTGCATCATTTAGGCCAGGATTTTTTCTTTCCAGTTAATTGAAATGGCAACGTTTGGTGACCACAGTCCCCCAAGTAGGCTTTCATTTGATCCATTTGCATTTTGATTTTCAGTTCTGCCAAGTCTAATAGACAGACTAGGAGATGCTAAAGATTCTGTGAGGGAGCAAGACCAAACTCTGCTGCTAAAGATCATGGATCAAGCTGCTAATCCCCAGGTAGGATGAGAGAAGAGTTCTGGGTCCATCTGCGGGGCGGGGCGGGCTATGCATATGTACTTGTGTCAAAAGTGTGTGACTTCATAGATTTAGTTTTTTTTAAACTAAGGTATTATAGATGAATATTTTTGTAATATTTAGTCTGCCCTCCAAAGACAAGGTGAAAGTATAATGTGAAAAAATAAGGTAGCTTTAATATGGGTATTGAATAAGTTAGTGGATTTAGCATGGTTGGTTTTAATTGGACTCTGGCTCATTTGTGTAACTTACTCTCCATTACTATGAAAAAAGGCACCTGTGGCATCTGAGGGTCAAAGGGGTTGGCTGGAGCCTCGGTTCCTGCCTACTTGTGAGCTAGGGATGCTGGGGTAGACTGACCATACCCCTGCCTTCCAGGGTCTCACTGTCTATTGTTGGGGGAGGGATGGTTAGACAGAGCAGAGGGCAGCGCAAATGATCTTTGTTGGACAAGTCATGTGCTCTCTTTCCTCACCCATAAAATGAGGGTTATTATACCTGCCTTTCAAGGTTGTTGGGAGAATTATATAAATAAATAGATTTTGAAAATTTGATATACGTCATTGTTTTCCAATATGCACTTTTTTGGGGGGGGGGGACAGAGTCTCACTGTTGTCTTGGGTAGAGTGCAGTAGTGTCTTCGTAGCTCTTCGTAGCTCACTGTAATCTCAAACTCCTGTGCTCAAGTGATCCTCCTGCCTCAGCCTTCCAAGTAGCTCTGACTATAGGCATGGGCCAGGGCACCCAGCTACTTTTAATATTTTTAGTAGAGATGGGTTTTGCTCTTGTTTAGGCTGTTCTTGACCTCCTGAACTCAAGTAGTCATCCTGCCTTGCTTTCCCAGAGTTCCGGGACTACAGGTATGAGGCATCATGTCCAGCCTCTAATACGCTCTTGAGAGGACCAAATGGGTGGGTAGAAGATGGGATTAATTTGGCATCTGTTAAGAAGCTCCCCTTCTATTGATCCCTTACTAAGTGAGGGCTGCAGAAGTCTTCTCTGTTTTCATTTGCTCTTTGTCATCTGCAGTACGTATGGGACAGAATGCTTGGAGGCTTCAAACACAAGAATTTCCGTACTCGAGAAGGCATCTGTCTCTGCCTTATTGCAACACTGAATGCGTAAGTCTGGGATGAACCTGAATTAAAAAAAAATTTTACTTTGAAAATTGGAGCTATATAGGAAGTTGTAAGGAAATGTAGGGGGAAGCCCCATGACTCCTTTACCCACCCTTCCCCAGTATTAACATCTTTGACATTGATACTTTTCCAGAGCTTAGTCACATTTCTCCAGTTGAACACACACATGTATATACAACTGCACCATCATGGTAAGACTCCCTCTTGCTGCCTCTATAACCACCCCTGAGCCCTGGCAACCACCAATTTGTTCCCTGTCCTTGTGATTTTTGTCATTTTAAAAATGTCATGTAGGCTTAGTGCCTGTAGCTTAGCAGTTAGGGCACCAGCCACATAACACCAGAGGTGGCGAGTTCGAACTTGGCCTGGGCCAGCTAAGCAAAAATGGCAACTACAATAAAAAAATAGCCAGGCATTGTGGTGGGTGCCTGCAGCCCCAGCTACTTGGGAGGCTGAGGCAAGAGAATTGCTTAAGCCCAAGAGTTTGAGGTTGTTGTGATGCCATAGCACTCTACCAAGGGCCACATAGTGAGATTAGTGAGATTTTGAGATTATACTTTTTTTCAGCATAATTCCCTTGAGGCTCCATGTATGTTGTTAGCCATAATAGTACATTGCTGAGTAGAATTCCATGGGAAAAGATGGTTTTGTTTATCCATTCACTTGTTAGAGAACGTTTGGGTTATTTCTAGTTTGGACTATTATGAATGAAGCTGCTATGATCATGCATGTACGGATTTGTGCATGAACATAAAATTTCTTCTCTTGGATCAGTGCCCAAGAGCACAATTGCTGGGTCATTTGGTAAGCCCATTTTTGGTTTTGAAAGAAACTGCTAAATTGTTTTTTTTGGAGATGTCTGTACCATTTTATGTTTCTACCAGCAATGTATGAATGATCCATTTTCTTCATATCCTTGCTAGGTGTTGGATGTTATCACTGTTTTTTATTTTAGCTATTTTAATTTATGTAGTAATAACTCATTGTACTGTTTTTTGTTTGTTTGTTTGTTTGTTTTGTTTTGTTTTTTTGAGACAGTCTCAAGCTGTCATTTTGGGTAGAGTGCTGTGGCATCATAGTTCACAGCCACCTCCAACTCTTGGGTTTAAGCATTCCTCTTGCCTCAGTTGTTCTATTTTTAGTAGATACAGGGTCTTGCTTTTGCTCAGGCTGGTCTCAAACTCGTGAATTCAAGCTATCCACTTACTTTGGTCTCCCAGAGTACTAGGATTATGGGCGTGAGCCACCATGCCTGACCGCTTATTGTGGTTTTAATTTGTATTTCTCCAATGGCTATTGATGTTAAATATCTTTTCATGTGCTTATTTGCAGGAGAAGCTTTTTGTTTGAGGGGGGAGGCAAAGTCTCACTCTGTTGCCTCAGCTAGAGTGCTGTGGTGTCAGCCTAACTCACAGCAACCTCATTCTTGGGTTCAAGCATCCTCCTGCCTCAGCCTCCAGAGTAGCTGGAATTATAGGTGCCCACCACAATGCCCAGCTAATTTTTCTATTTTTTCAGTAGAGATTGGGTGGGTCTTACTTTGCTCAGGCTGGTCTTGAACTCCTAACCTCAAGTGATCTTCCTGATAGAGCCTCCTAGAGTGCTGGGATTATAAGTGTGAGCCACCACAGCCAGCCAGGATAGGCTTTTTCAAAATTAGAAATGTCAAGTTACTTTTTCAGATGAGACAGTTATATCAGAAAAATTTACTAAGTATAAAAATAGCATTATAATTCTGCCACCTTTACATAATCACTGTTAATTTTTGATGTGTTTTATTCTAGTCTGAATATTATTAGATTATATTATTTTGAAAAACAATTGAGATTATAGTATTTATATTGCTTTGTACATTTTTTAAAAATGATCTTTTGATGCCATTAAGTTTGACTATATGTGGCTGAAGTTTTAAAAAAAAGTTTGTGGCCTTCAATGACATCAGTTTCAGTTCTAGGAATTTATATTAAGGAAATAGATTAACCAAGTTGTTTTTTTGTTTGTTTGTTTTTTGAGACAGTCTCACTTTGTCATCCTCTGTAGAGTGCTGTGGTGTCACAGCTCACAGCAGCCTCAAACTTCTTGGGCTTAAGCAATTCTCTTGCCTCAGCCTCCCAAGTAGCTAGGACTACCAGCACCTGCCACAATGCCCGGCTATTTTTTTGTTGCAATTGTCATTGTTGTTTATCTGGCCTGGGCTGGGTTCGAACCCGCCAGCCTAGGTATATGTAGCTGGTGCCTTAACCACTGTGCTACAGGTGCCAGGTCTAACCACGTGGTTTTTATTCACAAAGAATTTTGTGACTGTATCAGTTGTGATGGTAAAAAGTTGTATATACAGGGAATCCTTGGGTTAGAGTGAGATTGTAAGGTTCATAAGTGCGAGTTATATACCAGTCAGATGTTTGTAACTCAGACACTTACTGCAATAGTCTCTGTTTGTGTGAGTTATAGGTAAGTTGGAGTTAGTAACTTGGGGACTGCATGTAACTTAAATGTTCCCAGTAGAGCAGTGCTTAGCTCGGGTTCTCTGCTGCAATTATTTGATTAGTCTTTTCATCCAGCAGCATTAACGGAACATTCTCTGTGGCAGGAAGCTGTGCCCACCCAGCACACAGGGAGGATTCAGTGAGGGCCCTCCAGGGACTTGCATTTGAGTTGGTAGTGACAAAACACAAATGTGGAGACAGCCTTTGTGAGGCCAGCAAGACCCTGGGGGTGGGTGGGGTTTCGGCTCATCCTTAAAGGAGTAGGGCTAGATTGGAGAGAGCCCTGGAAGCGAGAAGGAAGACTTGTGCTCAGAAGCTACTGAAGGTTTTGAACTCTGAACAAAGGGGCCATCAGGGCATATTTGCTTTGGAACAAGCATGGACGGAATGGAGGGAGCCTTGATGTGAGGTGGTGCTGGGTCCTGGGGAGGCAGAGGAAGGGTGGTTGTGTGCAGAGGTATCTTTCTTACCTTTGTTCGTAAAAATAAAGCACTCTTTTTGTTTTCAGATCTGGAGCACATACTTTAACACTAAGCAAAATTGTGCCACATATATGCAACTTACTTGGAGATCCAAACAGCCAGGTGAGTGAAAAACAAAAGTGCTAGGAGGGGGGAAATCATTGCTTATAGACTGTTCAGTGCGTTTTGGTGTTATGTGTATGGCAGAGATGGAGGTGGGACTTTAATTATCTTTGTAGAACTCTGATTGTTAAATATATTAGCTATCCATTAGCACCTGTGAAGTATCGTTGGTAAGTGTGGACACTCCATCCTCCTCTGTATATAGGGCTGGGCATCACTAGCCTATAAATTGAGGACATTTAGACCAGTTCCCAGTATAAGACCACTCTGTTCACCTTCTCTGCAGGTTACCCTCACCAGAGGGTTGGGTATGGGGGGGAGAGAATCTGCTGAGTGAGGTCAACCTGTGTTTCCTGTTTGGCGAGGGAGTGATTGGAAGGGGGGCCTGAGGAACTTTCTGAGGTGATGGAAATGTTTTACATTTTGCTTTGGGTTGAGGCTACGTTGGTGTGTATATCAGTGTGGAAACTCCATGAACTGAACCCTTAAGAACTGTGCTTGTTATCTTATGCACATTTTACCTAAATTATAAACAAAAGAACCTATCACTTTTTTGGTGTGGGGTGGTCATCTGATCTGTGAGTGGTTACCAGGCCCTTCACAGTGTTTTCCAAGTCTGGGCTGCAGGAGCACCAGCTTGCTCTCCCAGTTCACATCTGTCTCTGACCCAGAGTCATTTTTATTATGTTAGTTCATATGAACTGATAGGAAAGAAGCTTTGTTAAATAAGGGGATGGGAAATGGAGGAGTAATTTACAAAAGAAATGCACGTGGCCAACAGTCATCTAGTGAAATCTTGATTGGTGATTGCTAAGCTACCTTCCCAAGAGGTTGTGTCCGGCTTGCCTTCCAGATGCCCCTGGGTCCCTCTGAATGTGTCCCTGCCATGCTGTGACCCTTCACTTGCTCTCATCTTCCCTTCTTTCTGGCAGTTGTGCCCCCCGCCCCAATGCCACATCCCTCTCATCTCCCTTGCTTGTTCTGCTTTCTTTCTACTAATCCTCTCATTCAGCCCTTGTTGAAAATATCTAGCATTGGAAATAAAATTTTTAGATATTTTAATTTATTGCATTATGCTTTATGTCCAATAATAAAGTAAAAAGGATTTTTAGAAAAAGACTCTAAATTACCAAATAGATTATTTTGCCCTATCCCCTTTTGATCTTGTTTCTTTCTTTTTGTTTTCTATGGCAACAGTCCTTTATAAAAGCCACTTTGAGACTTTGGCTGCTGCCACATGGCATCCTTTAGTAGAGCAGATAAGCCTGTTTGGTGAGGTGAGTTGTTCCTAGTTCAGACACTGGCACTGTCCAGACAGGTGATATGAGTCTTCACATGGGGCCTGTGGAGTCCCTTGAAGGGTCTGTAGTGGAGGGTTCGCTTCCCAAGTGTGCTTAAGTTGTGGAGGCAACACAAATCACAGAGCAGACAGACGTCGTCCAGGGTGCAGTTTAAGGACTGCATTGTGTAGAGTCTGGCTGGGTGCGGGGGAGATGCTCCATTGCAGCACGCTGCCATGTGCCACACTGGAGTGCTTTTCACATGTTCTTTATTCTGTCCCCTTTCTCTGTCCCCCTTTTATTCCACATACATTTACTGAGCGCTTATGCTACGGGCCTACCTTGTCTTTGTGGATATTGGGCTTTTGGGGAAAAGGGTGAGATTGGTAACTTGATTTTGTTTTACTGCCTCCAGTTTAGTTTCTGTTACTGAGGTGGACAGCATCCTCTAGAGGAGGAAACTTCTCATTACCGTAGGGCCCTATACCTCAGTATTCCCTGCCTGAAACAGCACAGATTCTTTGTAGACTTCGAGAGACATTGGAAATGAAGTGTTAAGAACATTTCAAATTTTGCGGCAGTTATCTTTTCATCTTGAAGCTATTCTGATGTCTGATTCGTCACAGATTTTCTTCTCTGAAGTTTTCTACTAGGGGAACCTCAAGAGCACTTAGAAGTTTTCTAAAAATTTTGTGTAAAGATTGTGTATTGAGTCTGGGTGCGGTGGCTCATGCCTGTAATCTGGCACTATTGGGAGGCCAAGGCAGGTGGATTGTTTGAGCCTAGGAGTTTGAGACTAGACTGAGCAAAAGTGAGCCCCCGTCTCTAAAGAATAGCCGGGCATTGTGGCAGGTGCCTGTGGTTCCAACTACTTGGGAGACTGAGACAAGAGAATTAATTGAGCCGAAGAGTTTGAGATTGCTGTGAGCTGTGATGCTACGGTATTCTACAAATGGTGACAGGTAAGACTCTGTCTTAAAAAAAAAAATTCTGTATAGGGAGACTAATCTTTTTTTGTGTTGGGCTGCTTCCTGATTTGACTTTTTTCTTTTAAATCTAGAAAAAGAGTTAACTCATAAGTCATAAGTTCTGTTTTGGAATTTTAATAGGGTTTTCTTTGTTTTTGAAGTAGCACATATTATATTTTAGATGGTCAGCGCAAGTCCCCACATTCTGAAAATAACTGATACAATTGTTTAAGAGTTTGATGTAGCCTTAAGTGTTGAAAAGTTTAACATACCATTTTAAAGCTGCCCAAAGGCAGAGTATGATTAAAAACTTGAGCCCACCTAGTGCAGTGCAAGAAGCCTAGATTAAAGACATAGGGCCTGGCTTTGAATTTAACAGCCAGCTGAACTTGGGAGGTGCTTGGTTCTAGATCCTCAGTTTCCCCTTTAAAGTGAGGTGCATTAGTAAGAGCCTTGCTCCCCAGTCATGTTGAGAGTGCTTTGAGGGTCCCTAACATTGCTGGTGTGACCTGTTGGTCCAAGTGAAAGACCTTTGGGAGGGCCAAGTTACTCAGTAGTCTCCTTATAGGCTGAGATGGTCATTTCATTTGCAGAAATCACACACCTGCCATGTGCCAGTGAGTTTCTGGGAAACTCAGATGTATTGTGTTTTAAATATTTTAGAATAGTATTAGTGTCTTGAGATATATTTAGATTTGGCATAGCCATTCTTTTCTTTTTCTTTTCTTTGAGACAGAGTCTCATTTTATTGCTCTCAGTAGAGGGCTGTGACATCATAGCTCACAGCAACCTTAAACTCCTGGGCTTTAGCGATTCTCTTGCCTCAACCTCCCAAGTAGCTGGGACTACAGGCACCTGCCACAATACCTGGCTATTTTTGGTTGTGGTTGTCATTGTTGTTTGGCAGGCCTGGGCTGGGTTTGAAACCTGCCAGCTCTGGTATATGTGGCTGGCACCCTAGCTGCTGAGCTACAGTCACTGAGCCAGCCTTTTCTTGTGCCAAACATTGACAGCCCCAGTGTACGCTATACACATACTGCCACATACCGGAAATTAGTTTTATTACCACAACTCAAGTGCTTCTGGACTATTAATCTGTAGTAATAATGCAACTTAAAAACAAGGGTAGTTGGGTGGTGCCTGTAGCTCAAGGAGTAGGGCACCGGTCCCATATACTGGAGGTGGGAGGTTCAAACCTGGCCCCGGTCAAAAACTGCAAAAAAAAAAAAGAGTAGTACATTTAAGACAGGTCTCCGTCCCCTTTCATTAAACTTGACCTAAATCTTAAAAAAAAAAAAAGTAGTACATTTAAATGAAATAGCATCTTACTGCTCTGTAATGTCATAAAGATTTTATAATTTTTCTTCATTTCTTTTAATGAAGAAACAAGGAGATAAAGTACTAATACAGTTTTTTTTAATAGAATAGAAAATATGTGATTTGTTTAAAATGTTTCATTAATCAAAAGACAAAAATCAAGTTACCTCTTCCTGCCTGGTATCTTTATTAGTGATTGTGCTTTCTGTGCCAGGAACCCCCAGGTCTTGACTGGGAGTTTGGAGCCAGTAGTGGTGGTACAGCACAGTTGAATCCAGGCCTCTGTGCCTCTGCTTTTGAGGAGGTTGTTTTGTTCCTCTGGTGCCCCATCTGGAAAATGAGGTTGGTGTTCTATGGCTGGCTTTCCATACTTCATAGTAGACAGGATTTATAGCTAGTGTGTTCCAAAGTGAGCACTCTGAGAATAATCCCTACGTTCACATCTGCCTTAGGAGGGCTTTATCAGCACATATATTTGCATGCCCAGACACACACATATGTACACACTCAATCTACATCTCCCAGAAATCTCTTGGGCCTGGAAATTCTGCCCTCTCTTCCCTGATACTAATCAAATCACTCGTTCTTCCCTTCGGGTGTGTATACAGGTTGCATGCGCTTTTGCCTTTGTTTTAATTTTTCATTAGTCTTTCTGACTAGTGTTTAAATCTCAAAGGTTGAGACTGTAACTTGTTCTTTTTTATAGTCCCAGACACCATGTAGTTATTTGAATGATTTTCCCTTCTTTGTTGTTTAAGACAGAAAAGACACTGTCCAGTCCGTGTGGGTGCTGCACGATATAGTGGTCAGTCTCCAGCTCTGTGTTTCTCTATAGTGATTGTATGGAGAATCCTTCTCAGAATGGCCCATAGATGCCTGAAGTATGTGGGTTAGGATGCTTTTTGGCCACAAGTTAACTGAAAACCACTCAAAATTGTTAGAGGAGTGGAGAAATGTATTGTTTTGTGCTATGTGGGATTCTGGAGTAGAAAGGTAGGTAACACTTGATAGCTCAGTGTTACCTCAGTGATACCTTCAGAGACTTGGAGTCTCGGCTGTGTCAGCTGGTAGGCTTTGTCCTAGGCAGCTCTCCTCACAGCACAGCACTGGTGTAGCCCCAGTACGTGTGCAGCCAGCCTGGTTTTGAAAAGATAATCCATCCTCGCTCTTAAGTCATACTTTATGCTACTTTCTTAGTCCGTCTTTGTGTCTGGCTGTAGGGGCATACTGCTGCTTTCCCTGAAGCATGTCCTGTGCATGTCTGCTTTCCTGCTGTGTCACGTTTGGAACCTGTCTCATTCCAGTTCCACCTGGACCTGGTGAAATGCTGTCCTTCCAAGCACAATTCACTGATTTCCGCCTTGTCCACAGGCATTCCTTGATATCCCCTGGTATGGTTTTTTCCCCCTTTAAACTATGTGAGCTCTTTGAGCTCTTGAATAACATTCATTGCATCCTGTGCTGTATGAAATGTAGAATTTTTTTTTTTTTTTTTTTTTTTAAGACAGAGCCTCAAGCTGTCCCCCTGGGTAGAGTGCCGTTCACAGCAACCTCCAACTCCTGGGCTCAAGCGAGTCTCCTGCCTCCGCCTCCCAAGTTGCTGGGACCACAGGCGCCTGCCACAACGCTTGGCTATTTTTTGGTTACAGCAATCGTTGTTGTTTGGCGGGCCCGGGCTGGATTCGAACCTGCCACCTTAGGTGTATGTGGCTGGCGCCTTAGCCACTTGAGTCACAGGCACCGAGCCTGGAATGTAGAATTTAAGGGTTTTTTCCATCTCCTTTTTAGGGCCAGTAGCTTCTTAAACATGGGGTGGTCACCTGTAGTACCCATCTTTGTTGCTCCTTATTTGTTTAATTGACTTAAATCCAGAATGTTTTAAATGGTGTCTTAATTTTAGTTTAATTCACTTATTTGTAGTGTAGTTTTCTGTGTTGGAGAGATGGTCTGAAAATTTCAGTTTCTTGAAATTTTCATAAAGAACGAAAAGAACTAAGGTGTATGGACTTTTAACATATATATAGAGGTGGAGACCTACATTATTTCTAACCTTTGGCATTGTATCAGCAGGGTGAAAGTGTCAAATAAGGTTTTGTGTAGATGAATACATTCCTACATATATACAAATGTATATAAAGGAATGTACTGAGGGTTGCACTGGTAAATTTGTGATAAATTGGGGTGGTGTGTGGCCTGCTGTGTCCCAGGAGAAAGCACTTGGTAATGATACAGAGCCTAAGATCTCTTCTTTTATATCTAGGTACGAGATGTGGCGATAAACAGCTTAGTGGAAATTTACAGACATGTAGGAGAACGTGTGAGGGCAGATCTCAGTAAGAAAGGATTGCCACAGTCCCGGTGAGTTCAGACATTTTTCTTTCTTCTGCTCTCTCCTCCCTACTCTTTTTCCGTTAACATCTTGATTTTTCTATTGTGGTAATTTTATGCAAAGACTATATGGCTAAGGGTGGTGGTTGGAGATCTTGTCTAGATGACAACCTCAGGGGTCCCCTCCCTTTCCTCACCCAGACATCTGGCCAGGTTTTAGGCTACGTACTGATGTTAGAAGGACATTTAAAAATGAGTAGTGTTGAAAAACTCAGCATTCTCCTTGTTTGTATGGGTCTGCGGCTATGATTCCGGAATCTATACACAGAACTTAGTATTGTGGGTGCTTAGAATTTGTTTGAATGGAGCCATCCCAGAATGAGTATGGATAGAAATTCATAAGTCATAATTCTGGAAAACATTTTTGACATGTTAGTTTTCTGTTTAGTCATTTCATTCTTAATGTATAGAAGCCAATACAATGGGATCAGTGTCTCATTAGATTCAAGACAACTTGAATCTACAAATATTTCTTTGTTTTAGTCAAAATTGAAAAAAATTTATGTAGTAATTGGATATCTATAATTTTAATTATGATAGAGAAACCTAACACAAAATGAATTCTAAATGTTATCCAGCCTCACATGAAAGTGATGTGAAAATTGTAGAGTGAACTCACGGGGCTGCTTGTCTGAATCTGTCATTGTGTCCATGAAAACAGCAGAGGCCCAGAGACATGAAGTAACTTTTGAGAGATTATACAGCTAGTAAGAGTCAGAGCTAATCTCAAAACCCTGTCCTTCTGACTTGCCTTTTCATTTTTTTTACCCTGTTTTACAAAAGTTCATAGAGTACTAGGTGTCTACAAATGGGGTAGAATGTTGAAATACATAGGCGTCATCTATCTTTTTGTTTTGTTTTGTTTTGTTTTTGAGATAAAGTCTTTGTTGCTCTCAGCAGAGTGCTGTGGCATCATAGCTTGCAGCAACCTCAAATACTTGGGTTCAAGGGACCCTCCTGTCTCAAGCCGCCTGAGTATCTGGGACTACAGGCATCTACCATAACACCTAGCTATTTTTAGAGATAGGGTCTTATTCTTGCTTAGTCTGATCTTGAACTCATAAGCTCAAGCAGTCTACCTGCCTTGGCCTCCCAGAGGGCTGGATTTATAGGCGAGAGCTGCTGCGCCTGGTCTAGGAGTCATTTGTCTTGATGTCTCTCAGACAGTTACAATGGAAATGGGCCCTACCTCCTTAAGTAGGGGCTCCACGAGCAGGTGAGAGGGTTGTGTTTTCTTGTTGTAGAGACTTGATTCCATTGTTACTCTCACCATGGCCCCTGTGTTATGTACAAGAAGATTAGATGGAAATAAAATGAATTCTTCTATTTTTTACAAAGGATAATCTGTGAGAATTTTTTTATTCCTGTGTTTTATGAATCTCAGTTTTCGCATCTTTAAATATATGGTGAAAATAATTGGGAAAAAAGCAGACAACAATACTAAACAGTCTATTAGGGAAAACTGGAGGGTGCAGATGAGCTGGAAAGGCAGGGGCTTGAGGGAGAGGATAGGTGAATGACGAAGTCACCACTGTTTTGGGGAAAACAGGTTGTTAACGCAAAACCCTTGTCTGCTCCAGGGGTGGCTTCACAACATGCTGTGTAGCTCATAGGGGGCCCAGGCCATGAACCCAAACATCTAGCAGAGTTTCTGTCTTAGCAGTCGGCTTCTGTGTATTCCAAGAAGGTAACCACAACACTGGGAGAGTGGGGAAATGACAAGGTGAACGTGGGGATCTAGAGAAGTGAGTGCAAGAAAGAGGTAGCACAGCAGGTCTGAGACTGCTGTTCTCAGAAAGGCCTGCTCACAAGAGATGCTGTCCCTGCTCAGTGCTGGGAGATTAAATATGGCCTGTGTGACTCCACCAGGATTGACTCCAGGAAGCAGGCGCTTTTCCCCTTTGTATCCTTTTGGTGTAGTAAATCACAGCTGTGAGTATGACTGCTGAATCCTGTGTTTTCCTAATGAACCATTAAACCCAGAGGTTCCTAGAGACCTCCCACACTGTGGGTGATTTAGATGAAGTCTCAGAGGCATCCATGCCAGAGCTGGAGTTGAAGCCACCTTTTCCATTCTCCCAGTCATGTGTTTCATGTTTTCTTACTGTGACCTCCTTTGGGGAGGCCAAGGAGATGGATCGCCAGAGCTCAGGTCGTCTTCTTCGAGACTAGCCTGAGCAAGAGTGAGACCCTGTCTCTACTAAAATAGAAAAACTAGCTGGGTGTTGTAGTGGGTGCCTGTAGTCTCAGTTACTAGGGTGGCTGAGGCAAGAGGATCACTTGAGTCCAGGAGTTTGAGGTGGTTGTGAGCTATGGCACAGTGGCACTCTACTCAGGGCAGCAGATTGAGACTGTCTCAAAAACAAAATTGAAATTAACAAAGGTGCCACACAAGTGCTTGGGCCTCTGAATAGGAATAAGGGATGTCTCAGGTTACCTAAAATCCATCCTACAAATGTTAGACTAAAATGGAGAGGAAGGATGGTGGTTCTAGAGAAATTAACCCTCACCCTTCTTGTTCATATTAGAAAACTCTGACAGACACAAGTGCTTGGAGAACTAGGCTGTACTTCGAAACGAAGTGGAAAATTCCTGTTTCTTTGTATTTATTATAAGTTACCTAAGTTGTAGCACTCTGAGGGGTGGGGGAATATGCTCAGGTGGAATGGGGCTTTTAGGTATCAGAGAAATTCATTATCTGCTATAATATGCTTCAGCATAGGTGACTAGATTACCTGAATGTTGGGGATTTCTTCTGTCATTATTGGTATTTTACTTACTTTATGAGATTTGTAGATTTTTTTAATTTAGTAATATCCCATAGGACTAAAAAACATTGTAGAATTTGGTTAATAGTTTCCAAAACTTGTATTTAGTCCTGAATAAAAATGTCATTTGAGAGTTTATTTACTAAGTGCTTTCAGAAGAATAAGATTAATTATATCTCCAATAAATACTTGATGAGAATGTCTTAATATCACAAGCTCAGCTAAATCTCTTAAGTAACAAGAGTAGGAAACTTAATTTGAGCATCAATTTTCCTTTTTTTTTTTTTTGTAGTGAGAGTCTCACTTTGTTGCCCTCTGTAGAATGCCATGGCATCACACAGCTCTCAGCGACCTCCAACTCCCGGGTTTAGGCGATTCTCTTGCCTCAGCCTCTCAAGTAGCTGGGACTACAGGCACCTGCCACAACGCCCAGCTATTTTTTTGTTGCAATTTGGCCGGGGCCGGGTTTGAACCCGCCACCCTCAGTATATGGGGCTGGCGCTCTACCCACTGAGCCACAGGTGCCACCCCTTGAGCAGCAGTTTTCTTTGTTCATTTTATAGTTGGGAAAGGGATGTGTACATTAACCAGCTTCACTTTGATGGAGCTAGAATTAGGGTTTGGGCCCATGTGTTTAGATATTTTAGTTATTTAAGTCTTGTGTAGTGGCTAAAATCATATTAGGCTAATATAATGAAGGTAGTCAACAAAATTTTCATGTTAAAGGGTTCTCCCCCCCATGGATCTCTGAATAAGGCCCTAGAGCAGTGGTTCTCAACCTGGGGGTCGTGACCCGAAGGAACTGTGTTAAAGGGCCTAGGCATTAGGAGGGTTGAGAACCACTGCCCTAGAGGCATGGACTGTTTGACCACTTCACATTGTTTTACATATGTTATTTTCACAGTTCACATACATATACATGTGTTCAGAAAGTACATAATTAACTTTGTGTCATATCACATAATCTTGTGAAAATGTAAATCACCTGTACCTCTGGTACTTTGCTTTCAGTATTTGACATTCACTCTCAACCCATTGAATCTTCTGGAAACTATTTTTAGTCAATATGGCATATCTTCAGTTTGTGAAGTTTTGGAAGAAAACTCACTGATGTTAAATTTCTTCTGGAACCATCATTTTGGAACCAAGCTTTTAAAAAGTGGCAGCTTTAAACCTGAAGATAATGTAACTTAAAGAGAGAGCTGATACGTACTAGATGTAATCTGATTATAATTTGGTACCTTACATTGTTAATAGGTTTCATAATACTTGATTTAAAAAATTTATAAACAGTGCTTAGGTATATTACCTAATGATTGTTTTGGAAAGGGAAAATTTAAAATGGGTACATTTAAAGTTTTTTTTTTTCTTCTTTTTTTTGAGACAGAGCCTCAAGCTGTTGCCCTGGGTAGAGTGCTGTGGCATCACAGCTCACAGCAACCTCCAAGTCTGGGGCTTAAGCAATTCTCTTGCCTCAGCCTCCCAAGTAACTGGGACTACAGGTGCCTGCCCCAGAGCCCAGCCGTTATTTGGTTGTAGTTGTCATTGCTATTTGGCAGGCCTGGGCTGGATTTGAACCCTCCAGCTCTGGTATATGTGGCCAGCACCTTAGCTGCTTGAGCTATAGGTGCTAAGCCAAATACTGTTAAAGTTTAAAAAAAATTCTATTATTTTCCTTTAAATTTTTTTTTTGCCTTTGGCTTTTTAAGGTTGGCTTCTCTACTGGGCCAGACTCTAGAGTCTGCAGCATTACTGATGTGTCATCATACACACTTGTTTATTTATTTATTTGAGATAGAGCCTCAAGCTATCCCCCTGGGTAGAGTGCTGTGGCATCACAACTCACAGCAACCTCCAACTCTTGGGCTTAAGCGAGTCTCCTGCCTCAGCCTCCCAAGTAGCTGGGACCACAGG